GCGGCGTCCCTGCGCTCCCGCGGGGCGCGCGCTTCCCTGCAGGCTGTCAGGTTTCACCAGGAAAAATGCAGAACGTCCAGAGAGGCCCCGAAGGACCGCTGCGGTGTAAGCACGTCCCCAGGCACTGTTTGGGAGACGCTGATGCTAAAGTTTCCTCCGTCGTCTGAAATTCCAGTTTAACTGGGCGCCTGTACTTTATTTGGGGAGCCCCACCCTAAGGCTAAAAGGGCCGAGCCTGTCTCAGGACGGTCCCCGTGCACCGGCTGTGACCTGTCCCTGCCGTCATCACCATCCTATGGTTGTCATCGCTCACTACCTGGCCGACGCCGCCTTAAGCTCCTGGGGGGCGGCTCGCTTAATCCGCGCAGCAGCCCCGGGAGATGGTGCTGCACCGCGACCCTCGTCTGTCCCGGGGGGGGGGACACTCAGGTGAAGCAGCTTGCACCAGGTGACACATCTAGAAAAGTAGCAGAGCTGCTGCCGACCCAAACAAGGATCTGTCCAGCAAAAACCGAACTGAAGTGCAAGCCGGTGTTTGTCAAGCTTGTTAAAAGTACAAATTCCAGGGTGGGCCTACTGAAGCAAAATCTTCAGGAGAAGGGTCTGTTTTTAACTCCTCCGAGAGCTCTGTTCTGCCAGCTTTGGGAAATTCTCTTCTTAACTGGCTGCCTACACCTTGAAGCTCTGTTTAGGTGGCTAAAATGATCAGGAAGACTGTCCTCTCCTCTTAGGCAAGAAGTAGTAAATCATAGTGGTTAATGTAGGGGTTCAGAGGAGGCACCCCAAGATGTGTCTCTATGGTATGCAGATTGTTTTGAGCTAAAGGCAACCAAGATCCTGTGGGCTCAAGAGAAATTTCTTCCCGCCTTTTCCCCCTTAACTACCCAGAAGAATTTGAATTAGGGGCCTTGCCCACAATAAGAGATGATCAGACAGGACCTTTTCATGACCTATCTATAGGGCAGGGCAAACTTCTAATTACTGGATATCTGCTCTCTTACCACCCTGCAATGACCTTCCTCCCCTCTGAAGCTCCAAAGTGATCCTTAGCTCCGAATGTCATATAACCTCATCTTCCCTTGCTGTTTTTGAATCTCTCATGTATGAGGGGTTCCCGTACTTATATATGTAATTAAATTTGGTCATTTTCTCTTGCTAACCTGTCTCATGTTTATTTGATTAATTACACCAGACAAAAGAACCTTGAGGGGGGAAGAAAGTTTCTTCCTCCTGTGGATGGAAAAAAAGGGAGGGAGGGGGTGTTCTATGGAAAGTAACCTGATGCAGTGATCTGATGATAAATTCCCAAATGGTGGGTAGTCATGGTGAGTAGTCATGCCCAAGGCATGTGCATATATATATATATATATATATATATATACTTTTTTGTTAACTATTCGGTAATCCAATCCCGGCCTTGCTTTCTCCCACTTCCATGTAATCTTCCCTGTGTCCCCGCCTTAATTTCAAATGCACAAAAGAAGCTGCAAAGCCATTGCTCTCCGGAGCACTTGAGATCTTGCTCCCTGGAATATGTCATCAGTTAGGCTCAAATAAACTCCTCGAAAAATTCTCTACACGTTTGTTTTTTACATCTACATTCTCCCACATTAAGAATACTAAGTGCCTAGGAGTTCTGGAGCCAGACTACCTGTTACCACTCCGTGGTACTTTGATCTTGAAAATTACTTAGTTTCTAACTAAAGTTATTGAACTTCTAACCTCCCAGCATAGGGTTGCCGGGAGGCGTAAATGATTTGGCTCATCAAAGTGCTTAAGACCATCACAATATTAGTCACTATATCCCTATTCCCTGAGTATGGTCTCGCCCAGTGGAGGATTCTCAGAAAATGTTTAAGGAGTAAATGAACAAATGAGAATCAAAAGTCCTAACGATGGCCTCAAGGCCCTGCAAGATCCAGCCCATTCCCACCTCTCACCCACTAACTTTGCAGCCACATAGGCTCTTTCAGTTCTTTAAACATGCAAATCTATTTGCGTCTTTGCAAATGTGGTTCCTTCTGCTGAGACAGTACCTGCTCATTTGAACATCAGTGCCTCTGCTTAAGTCACACTTGCTTGAAAGTCCTTCACCTACACCCTTGGCACACTCTTCTGGTCTAAACTAAGTCTCCCTCATTCTTTTCATAGTGCCCTGCTCTTGTCCCTCAGCCCTCTGCACAGTTGGTAATGATATGTATGGACGAAAAAGGGGATTCTATGGAAGTAATCTCACCGGGTGACCTGATCATAAANTCCCAGTTTAGGATTCTCAGAAAATGTTTAAGGAGTAAATGAACAAATGAGAATCGAAAGTCCTAATGGTGGCCTCAAGGCCCTGCAAGATCCAGCCCGGACGAAAAAGGGGATTCTATGGAAGTAATCTCACCGGGTGAAAAAGGGGATTCTATGGAAGTAATCTCACCGGGTGAAAAAGGGGATTCTATGGAAGTAATCTCACCGGGTGACCTGATCATAAATTCCTTACTGGGCAGGTCATGCTGGGTAGTCCTGCCCAGGCATACAGTGTCTTTAGTAAATGGTTTTAAGCCAGTCCTGTCCATTGTTCTTCTGCATCTAGGTTAACACACCTCTGAAGACCAGAAGTAATACCCCTCAAGAGAGCACATAATCTTGTTTGCTATCCTGTAATCCAATCTCCCCCTTGCTTTCTCCCACCTCCATGCAATCTTCCTTCATTTCAAATACATAAAAGAAACTGCAAAACTGTTATTCTCTGGGGCATTTGAGACCTTGCTCCCCAACGTACGTCATCAGTTTTGGCTCAAATAAACTCTTATAAAAATTCTCTACAGGTCTGGACATTTCATGCGTTGACAGTAGTAATGGCTGCAACTACACCTTGTCCGCTATAGTGTCCGGCGGCCTCTGAACAACACTGCCTGCCCTGTTTGCTCCTCATCACGGCACATCAGTGGTTCCACTCTTCTCTGGCCATGATCTTTCAGCCCATAGACTCTTCAGCTGTCTGCCTGAAAGGTTAGAGGGGCAGACAGGCAGCATGAAAGAGCATATTCCTGAACATCAGACTGACCTGTTCCATTCACTTCCTAGCTGTGTGACCGTGGGCAAGTCCCTTAATCTTTCTGAGCTTCATCTCAAAGAACTCATATGGTTTTTGTGAAGAGTAAATGAAGCTATAGGCAGAGTTTCTGGAGCGTACTAAGTGCTTGATACATTTTTGCTGTAGTCGATATTATTAATATTGCTATTATTGCTGTTGTTGAAATACCCTTCAAACTCATTCTTTTCTGGTCAAAATTCTACTCTTCTTTCAAGATTTTGTTCACCTATTATATCAGCCAGTATCACTTCATTGCAATTAACTAAAAATCAGTTCAAATTGGCTTAATAAAAAAAAAAGGAATCCATTGGCAATTAAAACCCCAAGGCAGCTTCAGGTGAGGTTCGATCCAGCTGTTCATGTGATGTTATAAGAGTCCAGCTTCTCTCCATTTATCCTCTCTGCCTTTTGTAATTTTGGCTTCATCTTTAATCTCCACAGAGGACTCCCTCTCATCACTTGGACACTCCAGGCTGCAGCAGTACTAAGCCACATCCTCATGAGGCACCACTTAGTAGGAAGACAAAGGAAATCTTTGTTTCTCCGTGGCCCCAGCAGCCATTGTCGTGCATCACTACAGTGACAGTTTGGATATGTGCTCCTCTCTAAAGCAAGGTCAAAGGGCAAATGGCATGTTTAGATCTGCT